CATATCTACATATGCCGATGTTTCCGTTTATCAACGTTATATTTTAAGATCTGTGCAAGAATTCAGCTAACAGATGTTTCCACATATAAAAGCTATATTCAAATAGATACTATCTTCTATTTCGCTGGTTATATTTATAGGCGTGTGGAGGCGTTCTAAAAATTTCAGTTTTATGTAACAATACTGAGCTACATTTAAGCGTTTACATATATACATATATTGTTGACTCTTACTCTCGAGAACTTTCTACAACTTTGGAGAATAGGCGAGAGTTTCGCAATACATATTTAACACTATAAGCTACGCATGCTTTAAAATATAAACTTAATCTAAACAAACGTTGATATTAAAATAAATATATAATAACAAATTCATTACATGTCTTTCTAAAAAGCATTTAGTACTTCTAGAAACTAGATGTACTTGTACAGTTTGTACAAAAAATGATAGAGTTGTGTTCGTTTTAAAATGATAGATTTTTTGTTCGTTTTAAAATGAAATGACGAGAAAGACTGAATGAATTATGGTTTTCATTAGCTTATATCGCCTTACTACTTTTTACGTAGCTGGTAGTGGCAGGATTTAGATATTTCACATTTAGTACAATTATGTTCTTTAAAAATATGATAAAGGTTAAAGAACTAAAAAATCGAATTTCGATCAAGAATAGATATTACAAATCGAAAATTCTTAATTAGTTACTTTTAAATTTGACCTCAAAATAAAAACTTTGGCAGACATGCATTAACATAAAAAAACGAGAAGGACTGTTGACAGAGGTGCAGTTTGGGTTTAAAAATTGTGTATGTGTAAATAACGCCTATGGCTGGAGAATGAAGTAATTTCAAATTTCTAGGGAGCGTCCATGGTTAGTCCTATAAATACAAAATTTTCTTTTCTTATTTTCAACATATTCCGGAAATAAGTCAAGGTTAAAATAAATTATTAAAATGTTCTGGGTTTGGAAAAAATGAAGAAAATACTATTTTATATAAACAAAATAAAACTTTTTAAAAATGTTAAGGATTACGGCATAATAATATACAAGTAATTAACAGAAAAGTATTATTAATTCAGAACCGGTTTTGTGCAGAAAGAGAATATTAATTTATGTATAAAAATAAAACTTCTTAAATATGTTAAGAATTACAGTCCAATAATATAGAAGTAAGTAACAAAAAAAATCTTACTTACTTCAGAACCTGTTTTGTGAAGCGAGTATTGTACGAATCAGTGGGTTACACTTCCAAGTTTAATTTCCCGTTTATCAGAAAGCTTATTAGTTAGTGAAGTTAGAGCTTTCTAAAGTTTGGACCACATTGAATGCCTTGGCGTATATTATTTCAATATATGCATACAACCGATCTTATTTGTTACCATAAAATCATTATATATTGAATAAAATATATTAGGAATCAGATTATTGGTATATATTTTGTAGATGATTAACTTATAACTTTTAAGTTATTAAAGAAAAGGAAGTTTATTATATTTTTTATGGCAAATCATAAGCACGAAAATGAAACTACTCAGCTATGGTCCTGTAGCACTTCTTTTCTCTTAGTTTGGAAGTTTCCGCAGCAGCATCAAATCTCAAGAATGTGAAAGGTTTTAGATCTCAATAATATTTATGTCCATCTTAATAATGAATATACCAAACCACCCTGAGAGACTACTATAGCTTTACAACGTAGAACGTAGATGAAACTCTTTTAAAGTGTTTGGATGGAGTTCTGAAGAGTATTCCTCCATCTCCATTCTCTTCCTAGGTGATCTAGTGTTTTCTGGTTAGTGAAGTTGATGCTACATCTGTTCGTAAGGTTGACCCCAGATCTATTCTGGCCTAGAACAACTGCTGACCATTCCACTCTCACAGTCGTTTCATGCTCGAGATAGATAGTAATCATATGTAAACGACAAAGACACAAATATTAAAAGTCAAGTCTAATCGCATTATTAAACGGCTTGACAATGGTATGGGAAAAAATGTGCTACTATGGGCATGCTGATTTCTTAAGCACATTTTCCTATCTATTTTACTATATACAAATAAGCTAAATACAATAACAATAAAATAAAACGTTTGCGAAATGAACCAGGGACATCATGTTTGGCATTTAAGTTTCATGTTTCTGCTTCTTCATCTAGTTTCTAGACTTTTGAGTGAGAGGCTAAGATTTTTGCCTTATTTTATTACATCATCTGGCTAGCAATTAGTAAAGATTAAAGACTGAGGGTATAATTCCTTACGGGATTGGCAGGTTTAACATCCTTCAATTTTGTGATAGGGTTGTACTATTTTGGTTCATATGTTTACAATTATTATTCAGTAAAATATTATTGACTAAGTTTTACTTAGTTATTCATCCAAAATGATCAATTTCTTGTTATGCGTATTTGTTTTGTAATTAACGCTTAAAATTAGACACTATTATTTATTTTTGTATGCTGGATTGAAGATTAATCCAGGTTCTGAAAATGATAGTTCTGAACGAAGTGAATTAAAATATAATCATTTTCATAGAACTTATACATTCATCTCAAACTAACGGGAATGATAAGACAAAATGTATATTATGCAAACTTATTTTGGTCCTTCACCCGACAAACAGATTATTGATCTACGACAGCCACATCTTCTTTGTTGTTAGAGTGTTATGCACTCATGGTAATTTCCATTTTGTCACGTTTAGATTTATTTGTTTGTTTGTTTGTAATTATGCACAAAGCTACACAATGGGCTATCTGCCCACCACGGGTATCGAAAGCCGGTTTCCTAGCGTTGTAAGTCCGCAGACATACCGCTGTGCCACTGGGGGGCTAAGATTTCTTAAACCTAACGTTAAGAATTAAAAATACTTTTTAACATAAATTTTTAATTAACTTGTAACCAAAATACAACAAATAGAAATTTGAATTACCAATAACAGACAAGATAAAGGAGGAAATGCTTATTTACAAATAATTTTCTCTCTCTCTGTTATCCTGTGAGTAGGTATTCTAAGTACTCTTTATCATAAAAACTTCATATATAGTTTACATTATCAACAATAGTGTTATCAATGGATTTCATGAAAGTATTAAACTCATTTCTTACAAAGCATTCAGTTGTAAGAACTATGTTTTTCACATAATTACATCTGGACTGTTTTCTTTCCTAATTTAGATGTATACGATTCCAGCAATTATTTGCAATGAATTAAAACTTCAAAGGGTCAGATTTACGAAGAAACAGACTAGCTTTTCTTCAACTTTCTCAGAGATTATTTTCTTTACGTTAAACCATAGGAACTGAAAAACATTCGATCACATATATATATGTACGTACCACACTTGTAGGTGATCTTTATAATATTACCACTTACCTATATATATAACATCTAAGGCACCCAAATAATGCTCTTGATGTAACTTAAAAAAAGCACCAAATACAATAAAAACGAAAAATATATTCTGATGGTGGCCCAAGTAAATTACATTGCCTTTAAAGCAAAGCTGAAATTCAAGAGTATACAGGTACTTTATCTATAAGTGGATATTTGAATCGTTTAACTGAGAATTAGTTCATAACTCCAAGTAACGAAACGTGTTTAAAAAAACTTTGTATCATTCATTCAATCATCAGTCATGTGAGTCCGATATAAGTAATATTTCAGGCAAATACACTTGTCAGTTAAGATTTAAAATATTTCTATATTTCAAACAAGAAATCTATTTTGAAATGTTAAATCTAATTCGGTTTCAGTCGAAATTGCACGGTAATTGCTAAATCGTTTTGAACAGGTATACCGTTATAAGTTTCTGTTCATACTTACTGAAAATAAAACATAAATATCAACATACTACAGGCTCTAATGATATTAAAACTATACACTTGAAACACTAAAAACATAGACTTTAACATGGAAATCACGATAAGTTTTTGCCATAAATCACATATTTTATTTCGTTTCTGAAAAGACGGGTATATGAATTTGTACAAAAAAAAAAGAAACAGATAAGACTATATAACAGAAAGCCTTGATAGAATTACTGTTTTGATTATATGAGAGATACATGAAATGAAAACGTAATTTTATAATTCAGTAATAAATTTTTCGCCTCCCAGTGGCACAGCGGTATGTCTGCGGACTTGCAGCGCTAGAAACCGGGTTTTGATATCCGTGGTAGGCAAAGCACAGATAGCCCATTGTGTAGCTGTGCGCTTAATTACAAACAAACATAATAAATTTTCTGTTTTATTTTTGAAAACCGTAAACTGTTATAGTTTTTTATTTTGTCGAAACAATTCCTATTAAAAGAGTTTGTAGATGTAGGGATGTCGCTCATCCCGTGTTGAAGAAAACAATCGAAGCTTAGGATTTGTGCAAGTATATGAAAAAAGTCATTATTCAAAAAATGTAAAAAAAAAGAAGTTGATGGAAGCATATGATAAATAAATAAAAACTGTTTCACGTCACAAAATTTGATTTAAAAAGAATCTCGGAAAAAAAAAAACCAATATATTTAACTCATAAATATACAAATGAATCTCAACGTACATAGAGGAAATCACTACTCAAAAACAATGAACGTAGAACAATACCGCAGTATTTAAACAACCACCAAATAAACCAGTTTCCTAAATAACACAAATGAAAACCTGTCTGTTCATTGAAACTATTTAAGTGTTAATTTTACATTGAAACTGCAATTAGTTAAGTGAACAAAAAATCAAACTTTTTATTAAGTTATCCATTTTATTTTGGGTATACTAATCAAGATAAACAAAATTATTTATGTCATCTTGTCATTATTATTACAGAGCACAGTGTTTGCGCAAACCATGCGACGTCTACCAGAGTGGTTCACTATTTTGAGAACTTTTGCTACTATCCGCTATGGGGCGTTCCTGTATGTTACCTGGTTTATGGGTTTCGGAATTGGATTAGTTTTTACCTTTCTATTCTGGCACCTTCAGGATTTAGGAGGCACACCTACTTTGTTTGGTGTGGCCTCTGTCATAAATCATATCTCAGAAGTATTCGCTTATTTCTTCAGCTTTAAGTTCATCAAACAGATCGGACATACCAAGGTGAGAATAAGCTATTACTCAGTAGTTCGTGAGAATCAAAATAATATTTATTTCATAACTGAATCGAGATATAACAACGTAAGAAAAGGGACATAGCTTTGACTTGGACTGAACCAGTTTCAAGTCCTTTCATTTATAAGTGTGAATTAAAAAAAAATACGTGTAAATTTCTTCCAGTATAGTAAACAATATATTTTTAGATTTTTTTTTAGTATTTCAAGGTAGATGCATTTATTGAATTAATTTCGACTATATTATTTCTTTGTTAGGTTTTGTGTGTTGGACTATTTGGAAACGTTTGCAGGTTTCTGTATATTTCCTGGCTGAAAAATCCATGGTGGGTTCTTCCATTCGAGTTTATCCAAGGTTTGTCCTATTTTCATTATTAATTTTACTTTGTCAAGTAAGGAAATGTTTTTTTTTTGCCTATCTTATATAGTATATACCATTTAAGATATATTTTCTACAACAGTGTAAATTTTAGCAAAGTACTATAATTTGATTTGTTTTAAAGTTCGTTATATCCATCCATGAAAACCCGTCCAATTTTAAGAGCATTTCAGCACCAATATAGAATCGTCTAATGTCAGTTGTTTTTGGTGTTAAGAAACATTTTGATGCCAAACTTGTTCATTACTGAGCATCTAAAGGCTTTATTTCAGATAAGGCCCGGCATGGCCAGGTGGTTAGGGCCCACGACTCGCGATCTGAGGGTCGCTGGTTCGAATCCCCGTCACACCAAACATTCTCGGCTTTTCAGCCGTGGGGGCGTTATAATGTGACGGTCAATACCACTATTGGTAAAAGAGTAGCCCAAGAGTTGGGGTGGGTGGTGATGACTAACTGCCTTCCCTCTAGTCTTACACTGCTAAATTAGGGACGGCTAACGCAGATAGCCCTCGAGTAGCTTTGTTCGAAATTCAAAAACAAACAAAACTTTAGATAAATTTGTTTGTTAGATTAGCTTTATTCTAAGTATTAAAACAATTATTATCTGATAAATTATATACTAAGGGTTCACCTAAATGATACTTTATTCCTATTTTTTAAAACTCGAAAAATATGACATTTAGAAGAACATTTAGTAATTGGGCTCCATTTTGTGTTTTGGTTCTTGTATCACAAAAATCTAAATGGCGTAACCCTACTTTGATTTTCAGAGTTTCTTCAAACAGTATAATTTTTATTCTCAAAATATAACTTTTTAAATGTATTTCTTACCACAGACAAAATTTGAATTGTATAACATGCCATTTTCAGAAGCGGATCCCGGGAGAGGGTCCAAGGGGTCCAGACCCCATCCTTTTCAATGCAAAAAACAAAATTGAAGGAAACAGTAAAAATAAAATTGAAATAAAGATAAAAATAGAGATGAAACTAATAGAAATATTATAATTAATTGTTTTCTGGGATCAGTTATGTTCGAATTTCTGTATGGAAAGGTGGTATGGACCGTAACGTGTAAAATGTTGAAGATAGCTGTAAAATATCCTTTTTTTCAAAATATCATGATCGACTTAAAACCCACTACAGGTCTTTGAAGGAACTCTTTTCATCGATGTGACCATCAAACATTCCATCACTCTCTCTAGTCTGTCAGCAAACAGCTCTTTATATAAATTGATTCTGGGAGTCTCTTCAAGATCCTGATTCTAACAGTCACTTCCACAAATAACAGAAACTATTGGCCATTCTGACGTATTATTGATAATTTGCCGCTAATTGGAGTAACCGGTAAAAATCAATGGAAAGTGTCAAGTATTGGAATTAAATTTGAAGTTTCAAAAATTCCGTAGCTTCTCACAAGGTGAAGAACCTCACCTCCGTTAATCATTTTATTGGACCTCCCCCCTTGCAAGTCCTGGATCCGCTCATGATCATGTTTTTTACTTAATTCATTGTGCTACATGGTATCAGTGGAAAGGCAACACTGCTGTAATTAGTTAGTCCCTCAGTATTTTTATCAGAACATTATTTTAGTAACCACCAGGCCTGAAAGTTGTGATAAAAACCGTGTAAACTGCATAATTTATCAGTAATAGACTAGAGGGAAGGCATCTAGTCAACACCACCCATCGCCAGCTCTTGGGGCAGTCTTGTTATTAAGTCAAATTCTTGTTTTTTAAAGGTATTTTGTCCATATTAACAATTTAATTATTCACACACTCCCGTATAGAAACAACGACGAAAACAAAACGTTGCTCCTCAGACAGTAAGAGTCCTTACGTAATATTGAACTTCCTGGACAGGCGCATAGTCAGAATTTCTTCGATGGGGTGGAAATTAATAATTGGGAGGAAAGGAATTCCGTTGGTTTAAGGATAATTTCGATCTAATCCCACTTTAACTTCCCTAAATTGAATTCCATGAAATTTCAGCGTGAGTGTTTGACGTGAAGACTGAATATATGTGTATGAAGTTCTTGCACTTAATGAAATGCTCAATTAATGTCTTATAGCAGCTGAAGACATAAATATTTTATTACTTTGAATTATTATTTTTTCCAACTAATTCCTACGTTTGTTTTCCATCCATCTTAAGTGCATATCCACATTGAAAAGAGCATTGAATTTAATACAGCTGTTATGTAAAATGTTTTCTCTTCGAAGTATTAAAACTGAACAATTTTACTCAAAGTAGTAGCAGTAGTAGATTTTGTGTGTGGTTTATGCAATTTAGTTCAAGTTGGCTGGCTCACTTGTTTCCGACTTTCTACACCCGCCAAATCAGCGTAGATGATGAGCAAACTTAATTTTCAATCTGTATTTTGTAAAATTGCACTAAACCCTTTTTTTTACCTTTAGAAGAAGAAAGCCTTGTGTTGCTTTTCTATAAATATATTGATTTTTCTAGTTGGTTTGCTCATGGGATTCAAGGCTAAGAATGATTAAACTAAGACCAAATTTCAGGTCATGTGTTGTGTATGAGCACTTAGATAAGTGGATAAATTCAATTATGCAACCTACTTTAACGTTAAAAGACAACTGCGACGTGTAATATGATAAAATGTTTTCTTGTCTCTAAATGTGGATTATAGAATTAGAGTAATAAAAATATTACTTGTCTTATTTAACCTTGGCTGGATCTATTTTAAGTGCAATTAAAGGACTTTTTAAGTTGCGGGTCTAAGTAAGACCTTATTGTACGCTGAAAAAACTTGTTATTCTGTGGAAAAAAAGAAAACACTGACGTGCTTAATATGCTGGAGTCAGTTGAAAGGATTATGTATTTTATCCTATTGAACATGAGGAAAACGAAATGTTTTACGATTATTGTAGACTCGCTTCTCGCTGTTTTTGTTTTTATCTCCGTTGGGACAGTGGCAAGTCTACGGATTTACAACGCTAAAGTCAGGGGTTAGATTCCTCTCGGTGGACACATCAGACTATCTGATGTGGCTTTGTCATAAAAAAAACACACACACTGTTGCTTTAGACGTTTGATTTCAGATCAGGCATAATGTTTTAAGCCCGTCTTAGGAAATTATTAAGTTTTAAGTAAATACATTTACATCATACGTAATATATATGATTCTGCTACATATTGGCCAGAATATTAATTACTGCTGTATACCAGCATACAGGAAAGACAATTCCAAGATAATTTTTCTCGGTTCATTATTATCGAGAAGGTATTAGAATTAGTGACATTAAACGTTGTTTGATTCGTTTTTAATCTCTTCAATTAACCTATGAAACTGCGCCTTTCCTTCTAATTGAAACAACAACTAATCTATCCGATTAGATAAGGCTATACATTTTGATATGTGTTCAGATTTTATGATCAATAATGTTTAACAAATAGATAAATAGGACACAAATTTAAATCGTTAACATCTTTCGGACATTCTTCGCGAAATTCGAACAGCTTAATAGAGTAAAAATATACATATCAAATTTGGAAACATAATGGGCCGCAGTTAGTAGTTATAAACTTTTTATTATATTTTCTATCGTATATTATCATCTAAGTGGACGAATACAAAACTTTGAACTAAATTCGAAACAAAAAGACGTTCCTATGTACTATCATAACGTATCCTATTCTAAAAACTCCAGTGCCCGGGATGGCCAGGTGGATAAGGCGCTCGACTCACAATCTGAGGGTCG